ACCTCACCAAAAACTATTAAAACCCTGGAAAGTTTTCATGCTACGATTAACTAAAAGTAAAAAGAGAACTATACTACTTCGCTTCTTTCCACGAGTCTTTTTTATTGGTGCTGGAGCCTCAGATTCACTTGATTCACCATGCAACTGTTTGTTCCTCCCATAGTGCCACAACAGTATACCAAATCTTGCTCGAAGACCATCCACATCAAAATTGGCAACAGGGATTGGAAGACCTCCAATAATGCACTCAGCAAAGCATGCAACATATGCTCCACAATCTCTGAAATAAAATAAATAAATAGAATATAAAAATTGATTAGTGAAAAATGTTAATATGAATGAGGAAAACAAAGTAAAAAAAAGTAACTATTCTTACAAATTTTGCTCTGTTGGCAGATTTGTAATCAGCTCAATCTCAAAAGAATCAGTCAAGTCATTTTCCATGTGCAAACCATTTTGTACTACAATATCACTTCTTTGGTTATAAAATTCAATGCTAACTAGAAACAGGGGAATCAACACAACATATGCCTCTGCCACCTTTTGAATAGCTTTTTTGTGCTTTCGACTACGTAGTTAGTCATATACATAAAAATATCTCTTGTGGAATGATACACACCACAATATCCAATGCCACTTTTCTGTCAAATTAATTGGAAAGAGAACATGATTAACCTGGTGCCATGGAGTATTACAATACATCCTAAATCCTTTCATTACTCCATGATATCGCCTGATCTATCAATCAAATGATCTTGTTTCCCACCTTTTACAAATTCTGTTAAAACCCTTTGAATGATATTATTAAAAAGAGTATCTGTAGTTGTGACTTTGATTGGCATATTAATTCCATATTTCGCCTTCTTCCTAAGATAGTAGAATATAATATTCAAGTGCTGCAATAAAGAGAGAAAGAAAACATGATTAACAATAACAATATGCATGAACTACTACAACAAAAATAATAAGCATTACACATACCGAACTAGACAGCAGCCTGCCAGAATAGTTTAATGTATGAAAAAACGTCTTATCATCAATCTATTCAACTTCAAAGTCAAAATAAGGGTCCAGCTATTGATCACCGAGTAAATACACTTCCCTATTTCGTATAAAAGAAGATATAAATAAGAAATATATCAACAAAAATTAAGAAAACATGAAAACAAAAGTACATGGAACGAATACGCACTCTCCCAGTTGCATGTTTGCTTCAAAAAAGTTTGAGAATGCAGTCGTAAGCTTATAATCAACAGCCACTGAAATGTCATTTACAAATGAAAATCTTCCTTTGATAATCTTTGAGGATCCCCTTACTACACTAACACCAGATTGCCAGTCATTCCTATACGGCGACTGTTTTACTCCTGCAGGGCGCCTTCTCCGTGTGACAACTACGGGAGTTGTTTCAACATCTGTTTGTGTCTGGACAATAGTTCTTGATACCGACTGATCAAGTTTAGACTTATTTACATCACGAGTTGTCAGTTCATTTCCAGATTAATTTACATTACGTCTCCATCCTTGTGTAATGACAACAATTAGATCAAGTTGAGAATCAGTATATTCAAAATCAGAATCCAAGTCAAGATCACCCCCGTGTCGACATGGAGCTTAAATTAGAAAATGCTAGTGAATCAACAAATATACAAAGTTAAGAAATTTCAAAAAAAAAAATATATATATATATAGAAGACATTACCAGAAGGCAAATTCACATTATTGCCACCTACATCCACTTGACCAACACTATCAACCAGAGATGTTGAACACATAAAGTATTATCAGCATCACTATTTAAATAAAAAAACTATCAAAAATCTCTCATTTACATACTAACTTCAGAATTAGTAACATCAATAATCGTAGCATGTGGAGCAGTACTAGACTCAATATGTGCAGGAATTCCTGATGGCAGCGGAGCAGGTCCAGACTTTCTAACATCATGAGATGGGTGCTTATATTTTGCTTGTTGTGTAATGGCGGTGATTTGATTAATTGCAGATGCAGACGGTTCAAAGTTAGAATGCAAGCCAAGATCATGCTCATTTATGAAGGGGGCTAAAAAAAGTTTTAAAAAAAAGTTAATGAACGCACAAATACATAAAGTTAAATAAATGAAAAAGAATAAAAAAAATTACATATACAACATTTTACCAGAACGCAAATCATATCATCAACTACGCCATGCCTTGATGTGACGTTCTTCACATTGACACCACTGGCACCTCCATCTCGACCAACCCCACCAAAACCAGACACGAAACATATAAAAGTATAATCAAGAGTATTATTTTCAAAAAATGACAGCAAAAAAAAAAAATCAACATCTGTGATTTACATACTAGAAGGCGCTTTAGGCGTGCTATCTCCAATTACTACAGGATCATTTCCACGGTCGCCCCTTTCAAACTGGTCATAATCATTATGCATCTCGCAAAAGTAAGGATCATTATATTATTCTTATGCTGACAATGAGAAAATAACCATTTTATTATTATGTATATTACAAGAATATTATGTGCACTAAAAGTAAAGAATGGAATAGTATCTTATAAATATATATTGCATCTTTGAACAATATACTATAGCATTATATAAAAGATCAATACCGCAGAATTTTTCTCTAGTTTCATTGACTGCCAACCAATAGTTGCAAGCACCTCCTCAAACTTGGTCTCTACAAAAAGCTTCAAAACTTGTAACTCCTTCAATACCTCAGCATTAGTAGGTTCGGAATCACCTCCAGTAATTTCATGCATACTTTGTGTCTTTGGCAATTGAGTGCCAAATACCTGAAAGCTATCAGGCTGACTGTCAGTGCAATCAACTTCAATTCAAATTTTAGACCACGCACATCAAATAGTTGCTTCTCAACATCAGTTGAGGTTATGTTCTTTAGCTGCAATTATTAAGCACACTAGTTAGAAATAGAAATGATAGTAAAACATGAAAAGATAAAAGAACCCTATTACCATATGATACCAATATGGTATATATGTATACCAACAAAGTATATTATTGATCTGGGATATTGCTACAACTACATGTGACTAAACCACTGTACCAAAATATTAAAAGATGCAATAAAAGTATGAGAAAATTAAAAGTATAAGTAGCAAAAAAGATCCATATTACCATATGATACCAAAATGGTATACATGTATACCAACAGGGTATATCTTGATCTGGGGTATTGATACAACTACTCGTGACTAAACTACTATACCAAAACAATAAGAGAGGCAATAAAAATATGAGAAAATTACCTGCTCGCGTTGCAAGCTAGATATTTGCAAAACAACTCACTCATTCGGTATTTGACCCATGACTACCTAATTCAAAATTCGTGGAAGTTTGTTTCCATTTTGATCAGCAAAGTGACCATCCAAACTTGGGGCAGCATTCATACAACCAAATCTGTAAAGCCAACGGGAATCCACCGAGTCTATAAAAAGAAGGCTTATCTTGAAACTTGTCTCTGCTTCCCGGCTCATCCCCATAATTTGAAAATAGTACTCTTGATTATACTTTTATATGTTTCGTGTCTGATTTTGGTGAGGTTGGTCGAGACGGAGGTGCCAGTGGTGTCAATGTGAAGAACCTCACAGCAAGTCATGGCATAGTTAATGATGATTTTTGCGTTCTCGTAAAATGTTGTATATGTAAATTTTTTTATTCTTTTCTTATTTATTTAACTTTATGTATTTGTGCGTTCACTAACCTTTTTTTACCCTTTTTCAGCCTCCTTCGTAAATGAGCATAATCTTGGCTTGGATTCTAACTTTGAACTGTCTGCATCTGCAATTGATCAAATCACCGCGATTACACAAAAAGCAAAATATAAGCACCCATATCATGATGTTATAGTCTAGACCTGCTCCGCTGCCATCAGGAATCCCTGCACAGATATGACCAGATGCTGTTATTGAATCTAATACTGCTCCATAGGGTACAAATGTTGATGTTACTAATTCTAAAGTTAGTATGTAAATGAGAGATTTTGATAGTTTTTTTTTTATTTAAGTAGTGATGCTGATAATGCTTTTATGTGTTCAGCATCTCGGGTTGATGTTGTTGGTCAAGTGGATGTTGGTGGGAGTAACGTGAATTTGCCTTCTGGATATGTCTTATATGTATAACTTTTTACTCTTTTTTTAAAAAAAAATTCTTAACATTGTATATTTGTTGATTCACTAGCATTTTCTAATTTAAGCTCCATGTCGACACGGGGGTGATCTTGACTTAGATTCTACTTTTGAATATACTGATTCTCAACTTGATCTAATTGTTGCCATTACACAAGGAGGGAGACGTAATGTAAATCAATCTAGAAATGAACTGACAACTTGTGATGTAAATAAGTCTAAACCTGATCAGGCGGTATCAAGAACTGTTGTCCAGACACAAACAGATATTGAAACAACTTCTTTAGTTTTCACATGGAGAATGCGCCCTGCAGCTGTAAAACAATCGCCGTATAGGAATGACTGGCAATCTGGTGTTTGTGCAGTTGGGGGATCCTCGAAGGTTATCAAAAGAAGATTTCCATTTGTAAATGACATTTCAGTGGCTCTTGATTATAAGCTTACGACCACATTCACAAACTTTTTTGAAGCAAACATGCAATTGCGAGAGCGCGTATTCGTTTCCATGTACTTCTGTTTTCATGTTTCTTAATTTTTGTTGATATATTTCTTATCCGTATCTTCTTTTATACGAAATAGGGAACTGTATTTACCTGGTGATAAAAAGCTGGACCCTTGTTTTGACTTTGAATTTGAACAGATTGATGATAAGACGTTTTTCCATACATTAAACTATTATGGCAAGCCGATGTTTAGCTCGATATGTGTACTGCTTTTTATTTTTGTTGTTGCAGTAGTTCTTGCATATTGTTAGTGTTAGTCATGTTTTCTTCCTCTCTTTTTTGCGGTACTTGAATATTGTATTCTACTATCTTAGGAAGAAGGCGAAATATGAAATTAATATGCCAATCAAAGTCACAACTACAGATACTCTTTTTAATAATATCATTCAAAGGGTTTTCACATAATTTGTAAAAGGTGGGAAACAAGATCATTTGATTGACAGATCAGATGGCATCATGGAGTACATGAAAGGATTTAGAATGCATTGTAACACTCCATGGCACCAGGTTGATCATGTCCTCTTTCCAATTAATTTGGCAGAAAAGTGGCATTGGATATTGGGGTGTGTATCATTCCACAAGAGATGCTTTTATCTATATGACTCGCTACGTAGTCGAAAGCACAAAAAAGCTATACAAAAGGTGGCATAGGCATATGCTCTGTTGATCCCCCTATTTCTAGTTAGCATTGAATTTTATAATCAAAGAAGTGACACTGTAGTACAAAATGGTCTGCAGTAGTCAACATTTCCCTTGTAAGTACCTAGAACAGTCAAATTAAAAAGAGAAACACATCAACTTCTTGATGTTTAAGCAAGCATAGCTATATTAGAAAGGGATAAATCAAGACTTGACCAGCATTGCAGTCTCAATTATCAAGATGAAATGATGTTATTTTTAACCAGTTTATTCCACAACTGCTAAAGTTGCACTATGTTCAATCACGCTGACAAACAAACACTAAATGCAGCAATATAGCAAGATGCGGTCCAGGTGTAAAATTTGATTGAGATGCAGATAAAGTATTCACACTTGCCTGTCTCCCAACAAGGATCAATCAAACAAACGCCTCAAGATGGATCAAAGATTTACCATATGCAGATTCGCTTGTTGCACCTTTAGATGGCCAACCATCGCCATATGATGCATGGTATCTAAAGCTTGTAATCTTACAGCCGTTGAATCATCATTAAGTACGTCCATTAAAAAGTCACAACCTCATTAGAAAAATCAGCAGAAAGGATAGCCAATGTTTGCAAAGCTCGGCAAGCAGATTCTCTTACCTTCAATTAAGCAAAAGAGAGTTATACTTGCATATTCCTTATTGTAAGGTTTCTAAAATTAGAGAAAGAGAAAGAGAAGTGACTCTCAGAACATGGCAACAACAAAAAACATTACCTCACTAAATTCATCCTCCAGCCCATGTAGAAAAGCAAAACTAGCACTCGATGCTGGTATCCTGAAATTTTTTTAGTGTACTGGCCAGGGAAATTCATTTCTTTTGTTGCAGATGAAGATTTCTTAGATAGCGTTTGTAACAGAATATATTCCGAAACAATTTCAATCTTCCCTAGGGCAATAAAAACTTCAATCCTGACCTTGACACTCATGTCTCGCACCATTGAACATAGCTGCAAGCGTATCATGTAGAATGAGAAAGGTGAATCAAAAAGATATCTTGCATTATTGATTATATGACAATTGCACAAAAAAAAGATAAAAAACACTATTATAAACATCCTATACTCAAACATTTGAAGCATTTACCAGGTATAATTGAAACAAATTAGAAAAACGAGAAGAGAGAGTGAGAGAGTACATGCTGGCTAATTCGGTTTCACACAATTTGATTCACAAGATGATCATGGCAAGATTCAGACACCTCATGGCAACATTGTTGTTAAATTAACAAGAGAAGTATCTCCAACGGTTTCTTCTGATCTACCTCAGAACCTAATACAGTAAACGCAAAATGACTCATTACAAATGTTAAATCTCTATTAATATTTTTCAAGAAGTTCATTAGCGGACCAATTTGGGTGCCATCTACCTCTAGAAGCATCATAATTACCATTGAGTTTACTTCTTGTGTTTGCTTCTTTTCTTATCTGTAGGTATTTACCTTATTCCATTTCAAAAGAAGGGTGGCAAGGGTGAGATATTAACAGAGATGAATTTCATGTGACACCCAATCAGAGAGTTAAATGGAAAAGAAAAAAAAAATACCTGCAGAAATAATGCATCAGACCAGTCCCTTTTACTTCTCTCTTGTTTAGATGCCACAATTAACTGCCCGCATGCACTAACCTGGATCAGTGACAGGAGTAAAGAATTAGTCAATGATTATAAATATCTCTAAGCAGTAAAGTCTCTGATCCTCAGACGTTAATTTTCCTACAGCAGAGAAAATTTAATGCAACAGTAAGTAGGAACAAATGTACATGAAAATTTCAACAATAAACAAAAATGTACATGAAACTGAACCAATTGAACAACAAGAAAGACCTTGTGTATCTTAAAACAAAAACTTCAGCATTTTATTTCAACACGAAACCTTTAAGGGTTGTTTGGTTGGTCTAGGGAGGAGATTTAATCTCCGCATAAAATCCAACATTATTTTAATGTGGGTTTGCTTTCTACTTTTGTTGTTTTCATAAACAAAAGTTGCATAAGTTATGTAGGAATCTATGTACATCATTTTATGCGGGATAGAATGTTAAATAAGAATGCGGGTTTTAGCAGTGGCGAAGCCACATAATCATAAGGGTGGTCATCGTCGAAAAATTACACTGTGTAGTGTGTACATAGGTAAAATATTACGTTTTAGAAGTATATAATGCATATTGAACACCCTTTGTCGGAAATTTTTTTCATTTTTTTTAAATTTGAAGACCCTTGAAGAAATTCCTAGCTTCGCCACTGGGTTTTAGTAATACATGGGCTAAAAATACTCAAATGACAAAACTAACCCTCATTACAGTATACAAAATGTTTATTTTGTTAAAAGTAAACACATGTTTTTTCAATTATCTTTTGGCCCTATAAACACAAGACAAGCATCAAATACAGTCATCTGAGCAAAATCCACAACAAATCGTTGGTATAAAAAAGGTAAAAGCCAGAGTTAAGTTGTCACAAACTTAATTCTAGCACAGAAGATAACTAGTATTTGACAACACTTATTTATTCCATTACTGACACATGCCAAAAATTCATAAATGCAACATAATTAACCAAAGAAGAACATATAATTTAGTTCCAATGAGATGTAATGTAGAAACTGGCCAAGAACAAGTCTTATTCAATCACAAATAAACATCTTTCTAGTTTCTAGCAAGAGCCTCATCATACTTAATCAAAACTAAAATAGATAAAGAACAGCCTCATCATGACCTACAGCAATAGAAACACCTACATACACTATTATGCCTCTATCCAAGCTAGTTGGTTTGGTCATACAATCTCAAATATCCATGCGCTCCATTTGCACCTATTTTTCATGCTAATATTCAAAATTCTGAATTTTTAACACTAAAGGATCTCTATAAATTTTCTACTAAGATACAAATAACTCATATATCCCAAATAGCTTTTTTCCATAATGCAAATACATCTCAAGCAGTAATATATACACATCAGACTTATTCAGCTTTCGGAGATCTTACTGCACGAACAGCAGAGCATCGCACTGAGTCCTCGGAGTCAAACAGAAGCTCAACAGCTCGAAGATAGCAACCGTGGATGAGACTTTCATCTTCCACAACTATGCACTTGCACAAATCAGCTAATCCATCCAAAGCAACACCACGAATGTACGGATAGGGGTCCTTCGTAAATCCTAGCAGAACCGTAAGCAAAACCGACGGCAAATTTACTCACATTCAAAAGCAACCCATGGCGAACAGAAATACAGGGACGAAGAACGAGTGAGTGGAATGTCGATTCATCGTTGACGTTGATATCTGAGATGGAGAGACACGCGAGGGCATCAGCGAGTGAGCGCGCGGAAGTTGAAGGGAGGAGAGAGAATTCACGGACGGTGGAGATGAGGTTGTGAGGGAGGTGTGGACGGTGATGGAAAAGTAGAGAGAGGAGGCGGAGAATGTGGTGGCTGAGAAAAGGATTCGTATTAGGGTTTTTGAGAGAGAGCGTTAGGGTTTTGAGTATGGATGAAAGTGTGGAGTCGGAGGTGGAAGGGTTGACGATGAGAGAGAGGGCTTGTAAGAGAGCTTGAGGCCTGATGTTCTCGTTGATCTCCAAATTCCTCCGGAGGTGGTGTTCCATCGGCGGACGGCGGCGGACAGGGACGGTGATTCGTCGCCGGCGAAGGGTTCTCTTTATTAATTACTCCCTCCATTTCAACGAGGTACTTGCTTTTTAGTCCATTACAACATAAATAATATATTTTTAAATATGAAGGAGCAATCTACGCTAAATGTCCATAAAACCTAAATTTTTTAGGAATTTTTTTCTACTATACCACATGTGAAACCTTATTACCCTAAATGTGCATAGTTTGTTAATTATCCACCGAGTCTACACTTTTACTACAATTTATATACCATTCGACTATTAGGCATTAAAAGGGCAGAATATTCCCTAAAATGCGCTAAAATTAAGGAGAGAATCTTGGTGTTAATTGATTCTACATTAAATTCAATTTTTAAAAAGGGAAAGGAGATTTCTCATCTGCGTATTTTTCTCCAGATCAGATTTGATTGGTAGGCAAAGCCATTGGAATTTTTTTCGTAATTCAAAAAAAAAAAAAAGACTAAAAGCTTCAACAAACTGAAATCAAATATGTTCTTCATCTTTTTTTTCTCAATATACAAATCAAAAAAATAATAAAATATAGAACAATACCTCAGCAACAACACTCAATCGTGTCTAAAATCCCAATTATGCTACAATTGAATGGGAAAAATCTAATTATAAAAAATGGGTCTCATCTCTGTATTTTTTGAGAAGAAGAAGGAATGGAGAAGAGGAAGTCTGATTTTATGTTAATATCTACAAAATTCCTACATTTATCTACAAATAAACTACAAATTAGTTTTAGTATTGTATAAAGCTATATTGTTTTTAAGGGTATCTACAAAATTACTACATTTATACTACAATTAAACTACGATCTATGTTGAAAAAAAATGTTGACTACAAAATTTTCTATTCATCTACAAAATTTCTACAAAAAAAACTACAAATAAACTACAAATCAGTTTTAGTATTGTATAAAGTTGTATTGTTTTTAAGGGTATCTACAAAATTACTACATTTATACTACAACTAAACTACAATCTATGTCGAAAAAAATGTTGACTACAAAATTTTCTCTTGACCTACAAAATTTCTTCAAAAAAAGTACAAATAAACTACAAATCAATTTAAGTATTGTATAAAGCTGTATTGTTTTTAAGGGTATCTACAAAATTACTACATTTATACTACAATTAAACTACGATCTATGTTGGGAAAAAATGTTGACTACAAAAGGTTTCCCATGTGGCATAGGAATGTAAAAATCCCCCCAAAAAAAATAGGGTTTCAAGATCCATAATACAGCTACTAATAACTAAGACGTGCAGAAACAAAAACAAGAAAAGATGAAGAAACAGAAAGAAGAGAAGAAGGATTTCTGTGCACAAGTTACTGCTAAGCTTCTGTTTATTCACCATGACAACGACACAACAATTAAAATATGGATATTTTCTACCAAAATCATCTCTTCTTTGCTATAAACTTCTGAACCCTCGTTGTATCAACTTCTACCAGACCATTAGCGTAGTTGGAGATAGTTAGTATATCCCACCATTTGCGGTTGAGAATATCTTAGGAATTATGGGGATAGAGAAACGTGGGATATATGGATACCTTTAATTAAGGAGTAAAAACTGCCCATTAATTAGACCCTTAATTAAGTATGGT